CGTGCTGGGAACTTCCAGGACCTAGTGATTCCAGGAGTTTCCAGGTTAGTGGGTGTGTTTTGTTGGCCAGATATGGAGTGGTTCATCTGGAGAGGGCCTTCCCTCTACTTCCTGCTTCTCGAGACAAGGTCACTTGCTGTATCCTGCTTGACTTTTCCTTCCCCAGAACATGCCTGCGGGGGAGATGGGCGTTCAGCCCTACCAGGTTCTGTCCACGGGGGCACCATCAGGAGGGATTTTCACAGAATTAGCAGGACAGGGAAGCCAGCATACAGCGTAGGGAAGTAAGTGCCCAGTACTCGGAAAGTTCTTCTGAAAAAGAAAATTCCGTTTTCTTTTCCCTGGGAGGAGAAAAACTCAGTTTCATGACCAAAGCTGTGATGTGAACCCAGGTCTCTTTGGGGTGAAGTTGGCACTGTGCCCACCATGCATTCCTGTCTCTGTTTAAAAAGTAATCCTTGCACATATGAGACGGAGGAAAGTGGATTTCCAGGTCTCTTCTGTTGGGTGGGGTGAGCTGCACTATCCTCGGGCAGGGGAGCGCCACGGCTTTCATGTGGGGGACCCATGGCACTTGGACCCCACATATGCTTCAGAGTCTCACTGATCTGGGCTCCACCTACCCACTTACTACCTGGGCGAACCTCTCAGAGCCTGGAAATTTATGGAGTTAGAAGTCGTAGCCCATGAGTATGGTGATTTTAGCAAGAGGACAGGAAACCCAGAGAGTCGGGAGCAGTCCTGGAACATCACTGGCCCTAATTCCCTGGGACAGTGAGCTCCGGCATCCCTGCCCTGCTCTGGACGCTGCACGCCATGGGGATTATTTCTGCCTAAATCCCAGGTGAAGCCCCTCTATGCTCGCATGCTTTGTGGGTTTCTCTGTGAAAGGATGTGGCAGCACAGGAAGAGCATGGGAAAGGGGCTGATGGTGCAACAGCATGGATGGTGATGTTTTCAAACATTCTGGAAACTTGTTTAATATATGAAAGTTCAAATATAGCACTTGAAACACAGAAGGCAGCCAACAGCTGTTAGGGTATTTTTTTTTTCTCTTACTCTGACCAAATACAAACAATTATATTTGGATGTGGGATCCAGTTTCTAAATTTAGGTGATTTTTTTTTTTAAAAACTGAAGTAAAAACTGGAGTTGGAGTCAGAGCAAACAAAGGCCCCACCTTCACAGCTCTGTGGGAGAATCCTTTTTTCAGTGGAGGGGGTGAACAGGATAAAGGGAAAACAGGTACAGCCTCTGAGCCCCTGTCCTGGTCTCTGCACTTGGGACTTCTGCCTCTGGGGCAGGCAGCACAGGTTGTGTCTGGTCAGCTGGGCAATTTTTAAAAAGATGATGGAAGTACTGTCCACTCATATTAAAAGTTTGGAGGAACATACGAAAGTATAAAGAAGCAAACAACTATTGATCCCCCCACGATCACACATATACCATGTGCGTCCACTTGTGCAAATTTCCTTTCTCTGCATTTCTTTACATAGTTGAGATACATAGTTTTTTTGATCTTGCTTTTCACATTGCATAGTTGAAAAAAATTATAAAGTATTTTTCTGATTATAAATTCTAGAAGAATTTATTACAGAAATTTATGAAGCAAAAGGTGAACTTGCTCTCTCACACCCTTTACCTGTGTACCCAGTGCTAGAAAAAAATATTTAAATATTGAAATATATAAATCAGCAAGTGAAATTTCCCTTTAATACAACCTACCAATGCTACATAATACTAGCTCAGTTTTTTTAAAATCAAAGAAATTTATAAGATAGAAGTAAATAGAAAGTAAAGTTCTGTAATAATTGTTTGCAGTGCTGACTACTATTAGTTTTATTATATAGTCTTCCAGTTCTTTTCATATCATTGGAGTGTGTATATGTGTAAGCTACTGAATCTTAATTGTATTATAAATACAGTTTCCTAGCTTACTTTTACACTTGCTAATTTATTTTGAATGTCCTATAATATAAACATTTTTCAATATTGGTAATTTGGCATTTATTTTGCTACAGAATTTTCAACTTGGATTGTTGACAAAATAATTGTATTTTATGTATAAAATAGACTTTAAATGTTATACTATTTCATTCTTTAGTAATCCTCATTTAGATGTACTCTGTTTCATGTAATCATTTCTCTAAGGCTAGCAATTGAGATCTAAATATTTATTCGCATTTCAGATTCTTTCCTAAGCTAAGTCCCAGACAACCCCACTGAGTCAGAAATAAACATTACAAAGTTTCCTCTCCAGGGAGAGTTTATCATTTTACACTCTCACCAGCAGCTACAGAAACACACGGCATAGCAGTTCAAGCAGACGTGATCCTTTAAATGAGATCTAAGTGAAAAAGCTTGTAATTGATATGTGTTTCTCAGAACCCTAAAGGGTGCGAGGCTTTTGCATTTTCATGATCTGATTTTTGCAACACAGGTGACCTGTCCTCTCATAAAATAAATCAGTTCCCAGTTTGGATTCTTCAGAACCCCATTCTGAACAGGAGCCTTGTGTTCTGGTGGCCTTGGGCACAGAAGCCTCCTCTCTGGGAAATCTGTGTGGCTTCCAGGTGGCCACCTTGCTCCCGCCAGTGGCCTGATGGGGAGCTGCAGCCTCACCTCTGTCCTCAGCAAAACCAGCTTCTTCCCTGTGCAAAATCCCAGAGGGGAACAGCAAAGCAAAGGGGTTCCCCAGAAGGGATCTACTTGTGGCCAGACAGTGGGAATTGCTTTCCCTCATGGCTGGGCTGCTCTTTGTGGGGGGCTGTTTGTGTCCTTTTGTGGCAAAAGCAGGTCAGCTCTTGTCCAGATGCTTAATGGTGATACAAGGCAGAGAGGATACTCCAGTGAGCTCTTGTTTTCCTTTCTAAAACTTTGGCTCCTTTGGAATCTTTTTATAGAGGGGAAAGTTATAAGTAAGTAAATGAAAATAACTGCCATGGCTGTCAAAGGAGTTCTGAAATTTTTGTTATCCTAGTTTAGCAGAGTCAGGAAGTACTTGTGAAGGTTCTAGAATGGGAACCTTCTAGAAGAAAGGGTGACTGATTTGGAAAGAACAGGAGAGGAGGTTTGGAGAGCTGAAGACTCCTAACCTCTTAGCATATGCCTATGGGCCTTTTTATACTTCCTCACTCCGTTACAGTTTGTTTTAGGCTATGATAATAATATCTAGTCATTGTAGAAAGCAAAACTAAAAACCAGTCATTCCTATACTCAAAGATAATGACTATCAACATTTGGTAGGCATCTGCGCATACATATAATTTTGCCATCTTGTTGGTGTGTACACCGACATGTGTATCAGTATCTATGCTCACATGCATGTATACACATATTTTCACAGCTCCCTTTTAAAGTATTTTAAATATTTTTCTTTGTCATTAAATCTTTTTCTTGAATACACACATCTTTTATGGTTGCATAGTTGTGTATAAGCCATAAATTATTTAATAAGAGTTAGATGTTTGGTTGATTTCATTTTTTGTTTTTTTTTTTTTCAGTAATTGATTAACTGTTTTATTATCCTTAAACATGTATTGTAACTGCTTCTTTCCTTTGAAAATCAGTGTCTTATGCCACTGCATCCCCTTTCCTGGAAAATAGTTGCATACATACTTATGACTGGATATAAAATGTTTTTTCCTGAATACTTGGTTTGAAAACCTCAACACTGAAGTAGACTCATCTGTATCATTCATCTTTCCAGTAATAATTTAAGTACCTGTTACATGTAGTTACTATTCATAGCACTGGGTATGTTGCTTTATGTTGCATAGAAGTTTACTTATTTGATGTCATATTTAACATTCTTTACAAGATGTGCTTTTTATGTCTCACCTAAGAAATCCTTTTTCATGCCAAGGTCAGAGGCAGTTGCCTATATTTTCTCATAACAGCTTTTGTTTAATGGCTTATCATTTTTCTTTCTTTGTTTAGGTCTTTAATCCATCTGGAGGTTTTGGCTTTTGTAGTTAAATTTATTTACTTTTTTGGTGGCTTTTCCTTTGCATCCATACTTCGAAATCCTCTCTGTGTGCTGGAAACTCTTCATTAACAGCCTTTTTCCTGTCACTTTGATCTCTGCCTGCTCTGGGGGCTCTCGTATCTTGTCTGGGGGATTTCTCTTAGCTCTTTTAGTGTTTGCGACATTGGTAATTTGGCCTTCAGCTTATGGACTGACCCCATGGGGCTTGATTCCACCAGTGTGTAGCATTCATTCAGGTTCTAAGGCTCCCTGAGTGTGTTGGGTATGTTTTGTGCCCGGCACTGGGAACATTCTCAAATCTGGAAACTCGCTGGGTAACAGACCAGGGTTTCCTGTTGAGGTGGTCCTGTGTGCCCTGAACACATGGCTCAGTGTGTTTTTTCATAAGGGACCAAAGAAATTGGTAAAGTGTCTTATCTTTGTCAGTATCCTGGCTTCATAGAAACTAACTTACAGCTAAGGAGTTGGGGTGTTTTGAATTTTTTCCTACTTCTGCCTACCTCATTTAGATAAAGAGAAAACAAGAAAAATCATTATCCTCCAATAATGTATGTTTTATATAGTTCAGTTAAAAAAGAGAGAGAGAAATTGCCAGTTGATCAGTTTGTAGGACCTTCCTGGTAGGGTGTCTGTAGGGTCCCTGCATGCCTATCAGGAGGCCTGGGGCAGTTTCAGGAGTCTGTTGCCTAGGCCGGACCCGCTCTCCATCCTGTCAACAGATATCCCACAGCCTTCTTTCTCAGCAGAGAGGAGGTGCTCAAAGTGGTATCGGGTGGTTCCCCAGTCAGCCCTGGGGTCTTCCCTCCACGCAGCACCCGCTGGGCGGCCCTGTTCTCTCACCCCAGCCTGCCCTTCCCCGAGGCCCAGAGCAGCTAGTAACCAGTACCAGACTTTTATCCATGTAGGCATTTTTCACATGTTTGCTTTACTGAAAAGATTTTACCTTTCTTTTCTCTTTTCTCGCTAGCTATCAGCATTTTCTTCTCACTCTGTCTTTGTATTTTTTCCCCAGGTCGGAAGCTGAGAGGAAAAGCCTTTTATTTTGTCAACGGCAAAGTGTTTTGTGAGGAAGATTTCCTGGTGAGTTTGTCACCCAAGCCTCCTCTCCCCCCAGGCCTGACCAGAGTCCCATGGTGAGGCCTGTGCCAAGCAGAGAAGGTGGTTTCTTTCTGTGGTCCTAGCATTCTGGGAAGCTGCATGGCCAGAGAAGAGGTCTTGCCTTCTGTAGATGCATGGGATGGCTCTTGTTTGTGAGGCAAATGACCAACCACACAGCTTTGTGCTTTGAAGGGACTTAAAGGTCTCTGGGCCTGCCCTCTTGTTACCTTCCCTCTTTCTGTCTACTCCTCCATCTTTAAACCTCCGGGTGAATCTGGGACAAACCACCAAGGGCACCATGGGGACCACAAGGTGGGGAGGTATGGAGCTTGTTCGCAAGTGAAAATAAGGGACTGCTGTCCCTAGAATGGGGAGAAGGTTCTGGGCAACAGAACCTGTGCCATGTGTTAAAGAACTGCAGGAAGTTTCCTTTTCTTCTACCGTCCTTTCATTATAGTTTCTTTTGTTAAGCTCTGTTTGCAAAGTTTAGGTTTCTAGCATCTCCCAGTGTATAATACCTACTATCTTTTTTGAAGTGAGTACCTCATTTCTCCTAAGATTCTAGCGAGATGTGTGTGTGTATGTTGCTAAGGTAAGGTAGATTGTATTCATCAAGTTTATTTGAAGCCAGCTATAAAAGGCATTGGCTTTTTAACTAGAACCAGGTTAGAATTTGAATTTTGTCCTTATGCCTAATAAGCTGTATGACCTCCAGAAGGTCACTTAACCTCACTGCACTTCCCTTTACTTCCATGTGAGAAATGGTACAATATTTCCATTGCAGATTTATTTTAAGGATTAGAGCAAGGGAATCAATCTTGTTCTTGCATCAGAATACCCTGAAGGGCTCCTAAAAACACTGATTTTTGGGCCAAGCCTTGAGTTTCCAATTCACTAGGTTGGGGGGGACCCCAAGAGTTGGCATTTCTTCTAAGTTCCCAGGTAATGCCAAGGAACTCCTCTTTGACAACCACTGAATTTAAGATGAAAGCCTCTCTGTGCATGGCCTCTTACACAGAGCCTGGCATGCCGTGGCTGCCCAGGCACAGCTGATACCTGGGCGAAGGCACTGGTATTTGCAGTGACTTTTGTGGCAGAGGACAGCTGTCCCATGGTTTATCACACAGCTTTGTTGTCCTTGGGGAAATGACAGACTCCTGTAGAGAGTGACACATCTCTCTGAGAAATGTCTTGTAATTCTCCTGATGGGCTGGCTGGGGAGTAGCTGATTCCTCTCCGCTGCCTGCGTGTAACGTTCCTTTCCTCTCCTTTGCAGTACTCTGGCTTCCAGCAGTCTGCTGACAGGTGTTTTCTCTGTGGACACCTGATCATGGACATGGTGAGTAGGGTCAGCTGAACAGGAATACCTGGTGGCAAGGGGAGCCATTCAGAGACCATACTTCCTATTTAAGAACAGTGTTTACTACTCTGATTTGTAATTACGACTGGTTTTATGGAAAGAAGATCCTGTGGCGTTCAGTTTGCTTGCTGCGGCAGAACCCACGTTCTTGCCTTGCAGTGCTGTAGCATCCTTAACTGCTCTGTCTGATGACACCTTCTCCTGTGGGCTCTTTGGATCTCACTGGCCTCCATCTAATTTTCTGTAATCCTTGTGGTGTCCCAGGTGAGATGCTAAATGAGTCTGTTTTTATTTCGGAAATCTCAGTTACCTTGGGGGTGGGTGCAAAAAAGATCAAGACGATTGTTTTCTCGCCAGGTTCTGTCCAGCTCAGTTCCTTCCTAAAATGAGTTTTTTTTTTTTTTAAACATTTATTTATTTGTTTATATAAGCACTGGGTACAGTCAGAAGCGCGGGAGGGTGAGAGAATTCACCAGAGACAGAGCAGGGAACAGAACAGGCAGACCGACGATGAAGTACACTGCTGAGGGGAGCAGCAGGAGAGGTCTGCTACTCCACGTGAAACCCTCGCCGGTGGCCGGGAATTGAACCGGCACTGCAGAGGCTGCGGGCACCTTTGCAGCCCAGCGCGCAACTGCTGCACCACCAGGGGATGCCCCCTAAAATGAGTTTTGGGGGCTGTAGTTAGTCTTGAGACAGTAGAATAAAGAGCAGGTTTTATATGTGCCATTCTTCCAGTTGCCCCTGGCTCTGAGCTTGTCTGGGTCTCGTGTCTTCATCTTTTCAGTGGGGGACAGTGTTTCTATCCTTGCTGCCTGGCCGCCTCACAGGGCGAGGGTCGGGGGTTAAATACAGAGCTCTTACTCTGGCTTAGGGATCATATTGTTTGCTATTGGAGATGGACCCTTTAGAATTATTCTGGTCAGGGAAAATGATATCAAATTCTTTTAGTTAGAAAGAGTTATTAAATCCTCTCTAAACTGATCTATTCCATTATCAGTAGAAAATTGCTGTTATTTTTCTTTTACCTGTTTACTGAGAAACAATTCACAGACTAGAAGGCACACGTCTTAAATGTACAATTGAATGAATTTTTACACATGGATGTACCAATGAAACCACCACCCCAAGATCAAGATGTAGAACATTCCCCACATCCCACACCCCAGAAAGTTCCTTCCTGTCCTCACCCTGCCCCCCCGCCCCCCCTTTCTGTTGTCCCAGATTTGTTTCACAGATGCTGGAACTATATGGATGGAATCATATAGTGTAGAATCCTCTGGATCTGTGTTTTTGTGATTCATCTATGTTATTGTCTGTGTCAGAAGTTTATTTATTTTCATTGTTAAGTAGAACTCCATTGAATGTTACAGCTATTTGTGCTGCTGGTGAGGACCTGGGTGGTTTCCAGTTTGTGATTATGAATAAAACTGCTGTGAACACTCTATGATTGTCTTTGATGGACACACACACACACATTTCTGCTGGTTTTAGACTAACGTGGACTAAACAAGAGGACCAGAACCTGCCTTGTTTATGATTCCATAGCAGAGCTTGGCCCTGTGAGAGCTGTGTCCTCATTAGTGATCAAGCCACCTTGGGAACAGGGCCACCCACCCGTTTCCCCAGGGGAGGCAGGCGGGAGCCACTCACCCTCACCCCGACGCCTGCCAGACTAACAGTTCCAGTTCTCTAGCCGAATATGCATTTGCTGTTAGAGTTCTGACAAGCCCACTGCAGCCTACTGTCAGAGTGCCCAAATGTATGACCATGAACCCTCTTCTTATTTCTGTGTGTGCTACGCCTTCTTTGGGCCTCAAGGCATTACATATATCTGCCACTGCATGACAAACCTCCCTAAGATGCAGTGATTGATGGTTTGTCCTGATTCCGTGAGTCTGGAATTAGGTCAGGGCTCGCTCGGCAGGGCGAGTGTTCTGCTTGTGTGGCATTGGCTGGGTCACTTACTCAGCTGTGTTCACTGGTGGCACAGTTGTACTAGAACATCCAGGGTGACCCCTCACCCTCCAGGCCTCTTGCCCTGTGGCCACAAATGCTATTCAGTGGTCTAGTTTGATTTTTTTTCAGCAAGAAAGTAGAAAGGAGGTTGCCTGTCTTCTTAGGTCCTTGTGTCAGAAATCTCAAAACATCATTTCCTCTTCATTCTATTGATCAGAAAAGTCCAAGACTGTCTTAAGGGCACATTGAGGGGGTGCTGTGTTATTCTCCACCTTTTGAAGCACCATCCAGGCAGGGAAGGAGTTGAGTTTTGGAGACCACCTCTTTTTACTGCACAGGATAAGGTGAAGTTGAACTGGGTTCTTGCAGATCTTCTCTAGGACTTGAAAACTTCCAGCTAATATCTATTTAAATTTTCCTAAACAGAACCTTTAACTGCCACCAGGAATCATAATAAGTCAGAGAGTCTTTCAGACGCCATTCTTGGCTCTTCAGCAGAACCCCAGTTGTGCAACTCTGTGTATTAATTGTCTGTGCCCTCCTTTATTAATAGAGAGGACTGCTCTGGGATTGCAGGTTGGAAGTGGGCATTTCCCCACATTAAAGGAAATTATTACAGCTAGTTAGAAGGTGGCATCTTTACTCTACCATACTCTTGGCACTATGTGGATAAATTAATTTAAGGGTCTCTTTTTGCCAAGACAGCATTAGTCTTGGGGTAAAATGCATTCCAAGGTCCAGATTGCCAAGTGGACTTTTGGAAGCCCAGCCAGTTGTTCTTCCTGTTTGAGCAGCTAGTGCAGATTGAGAAGGGCCTCGGAGGTTAGTGAGGCCCCAGAGGAAATGGGGGGGCTTGAAAGCTGAGCTGTTGGGGGAGAGCCAGGCCACCACACAGTCTTCCTGGCCCCTCCTTGGCTGCAGTTTGTGCTGCGTGGTCTTGGCCTCTGGAGGTGGCGTCAGGAAGGAGCTGGAACAGCCTGTCGCCAAGGGTCTCACAAACACTAGGCTTTCCTGGTGACCAGACTTTCCTCAGCTTCAGGTCCCCTTCTGCATGTTTAGGGGGTTTTGTGCAGCCCCCTCAAGGATGCTGATGATGGTTCTGTGCATTCCTTGCAAATGGGCATGCTGGCTCACACAAGCGTGCTAGCGCAGGCGTCCTAGTTCATGTTGTGTTACGTTTCATGGTAGAGGTAATGACAGAAAGGAATCTCATCGAGTCAGCGAAGATGCTTTCAACCTCACACTATGCAAAAAAAGCAGCAGCAAACCCAAGACTCATTTTAAACCAAACCAGAGGTTTTCACACTTTAACTTAAAACATCATCTGCTTGGCCTCACCCCAGGGTTTCTTATTCAGGAGAACTAGGTGGGGCCTGAGAATGATTTTTAACGCGTTCCCAGGTGATGTTGATATTGCAGGTGCAGGGACCACACTTTGAGGTCCACTGACTTACCGAGGGAATGTTTATCTCACCTATGAGAGGTTTGGAGGCAGCAGTTGATGTTAGTTTGGTTACTCACTGGCATCAGCCAGGATGTTCTTTTCATCTCTCCTCTCTCCTGCCCTCCTTGTCTCAGCTCTGCCTGGCCCAGAGATCACATACGGATCAAATGACACTGAGAGGAAGAAGGGCTGTGGGTTTTCTCTTCATTGTGTTTAAGAAACAACAAGAAGTTTTCTCTTACCCTGATATTTGAGATCATCTGGAGCTGAGTCACAACTTCTGGATTATCCCTCTACACAGTCAAACCTGCTTGGAAAGGGCATCCAGGAGCCAGAACTCAGAGGGTCCCCCCATACTCTGTCATTTCCACGTGAAATTTCCTTTCATCTTTCCATGACTTCTTCCCAAATCTGGCGTGGATCCTTTCCTCGCCTTGCTTTACATCGTTTCCTGCAAAGAACTGTGAAAGTGTTTTGCTCAGTAGCCCTTTAAATTCCCTCCCGGAAGTTTAGGAAATACAGGAGAAGGAGCCTGTGTATGCAGCTGGCTAGGTTTGCCTTTCCCTCCCATCATGTCAACCTTGGTCCACTGCAGGGAGTGAGCTCTGGGTGGGGAGTGTTCCTGCGGTCTGATTGCCCCCTTCCATTGCCCCACGTGCCCCGGAGTCCTCGCTGAGCGCCGGCCTCTTCCTTTGTGCAGATCCTGCAGGCCCTGGGGAAGTCCTACCACCCTGGCTGTTTCCGCTGTGTCATCTGCAATGAGTGTTTGGATGGGGTGCCCTTCACTGTGGATTCAGAGAATAAAATCTACTGTGTCCGGGATTACCACAAGTAAGGAGGACGGGGCAGATGGGGGACTTTGCGAGTAGGCTGGGCTGCTGGGACTGTTAGCCCATGTCTTAATGGTTATGGGAGGCCACTTCATTGCCAGTGCAGACAGGGTCTGGCTAGAGAATCATGTTTACAGAAAAAAACAGAATAAAAACCCTGTAATCTGATTCTTCAGGAGCAATTGGCCAAGCCCTGTGGCTCCAACTTTACCTGACTTCACGTTGATTCAGCTGGTCACCTTCTCTCCCAGAGAGTGGGCCAGAGTGAGGGGCAGGAGGTGGCGCAGGCCAGAGAGGAAGGCTCTGGGCTGGTACAGGCATGAGTCTTGTCCTGGCCTGGCCTCCCAGAAACTGTGCAGTACTCATGTTGCTGCTTCTCTGCTCTTCCCCCAGGGTGCTGGCCCCCAAGTGTGCAGCCTGTGGGCTTCCCATCCTTCCACCCGAGGTAAGATGCCTTTCAGACCTGCTCCTGGGTGTTGTAAGACATGCACATTGCTCAGGAGTCACTTACACAAGATTCGTGTCCTATCCTTACACCTTTAAAGAAATCTTCCTGACATCTCAACTCTGAGCTAAGTAGTGTTGTCACCATGAAGCTCCTTTCTCATCCTCTGTCTGCTCCAGCCTGCTGCCCTTCTTGTACCCTGTTGGTTCTATAATCAGGTCAAACTCTCCCAATTGGTGTTAATTCCTAGATTAGAAGGCGAGCAGAAAGCTTCTCTTTTATTCATTTCTTAAGAAATAAATGTCCACATAGGTGTTTCGTTCAGAGTTGACTCAGAAGGTAGGATTGCTGTTCCTCCCATTTCCTCTCTTGTCGGCTAAATGGGCCCTGTTTCTACATGTGCTTCCTCCTCCTTTTTCTCTGTTCCTGTCCTCAGGCCACCTGCTTGTTACCGCCCCTCCCACCCCTGCCCCCGGCATGTGGCGCCTGTGGGCCCCTAACTGACCCCTGGTGCTTACTTTCTTTCCCTGCAGGGCTCAGACGAGACTATCCGCGTCGTGTCCATGGACAGAGACTACCACGTGGAGTGTTACCACTGCGAGGTAGGCCCTCCCTGCCAGTCCTGAGGCTGGCACAGAAGCCCTAGAGAGTGGTGCTCCTGCTTGACTGGGGCATGGGGCTGCCCTCCAGAGCAAATGGAGGAAAAGTTGTGAACCCTCATTTGGGAGGGAGGTGGCAAGGATGTAGATGTTTGGGGTTTTAAGGTTTTTACTGTTTCCTCCACATTCATAACTGCCAAGTGTCAAGTTATCACAGCTGCGCTCCTGACGCTGTGCACTGGGAGGTTGAGGGCTGCATGGGGTTCAGATCCTGTTGGGGGTCAGGCTGTCAGGCAGGTGTGTGATTTGGGGAATAGACTCCCTCCAACTACAGCTTGTAGGTGTTCCTCTGCCAGGAAGCCCTTTCTCAGCTGAATCCTAGAAGTCATGATAAACCTTCTTTGGAAATAGGCGTGTCACTGGTTGGTGTGCAGGTGGCTGGGGGCCCCTTCTCTGGCCCGTGTCACACCCCAGGTCAAAGGTGCCACCATTGCCCCAAGACCATCCAACAAGGCCACTCTTGTCAGGGGTGCCTGTGAGACACAGCTGGAATTATGTGGATTCACATAATTATGGCAGCTTTATTTTGTGAAGCTCTTGTGGGGGTAGGAGGGGGTGTGGTTGAGAACAGTTTGATTCCACTGCCCGCACCCCAGAAACAGGTGGGAGTGACTGTTGATGGTACCCCAGGGGCCTGAAGGAAAGGTGAAGACGCTTTGCTCGGTGACATTTTCCACACATTGTGGGGCAGCGCCAGCCTGTAGCAACAGGGGACAGAGTCAAGTCATGTGTGTGATTTTATTTTCTAACAGCCACTTAAAAAAGGTAAAAAGAAAAGGTGGGATTAGTTTTGTGATATTTTATTTCACTCAATATATCCAAAATGTTACCATTTCCGCATACAGTCAATATAAAATCTTTTTCAGGGGATATTTTTCATCTTCATTTTGAGCTAAGTCCTGGCAACCTGCTGCATGTTCACACTGCCCTTCCCTCTCAGCCCTGACTGTCCCGCTTCAGCTTCTGGAGAAGGACAGGCGGCAGTGGGCAGGGCAGTGGCTGCGTGTATCTGCCCCTGCAGAGCCACAGCACACCCTCTGCTGGCTCCTGGGGCTGGGGCCTGCCTGTTGGTCTTGTCTGCTTGCATTTCTACCCCAGCACCTTTGCCTCCCCCAGGACTGCGGCCTGGAGCTCAATGATGAGGACGGGCACCGCTGCTACCCCCTGGAGGACCACCTGTTCTGTCATTCCTGCCACGTCCAGAGGCTGGAGCAGGGCCCCGCCCCCGCTGCCCTCCACCAGCGCCACTTCTGACCAGAGCCTTCTAGACGCACCGCCCGGGAAACCAGAGTCGCACAGCGGAAATCTACCCGTTCACTCCAGTGGTCTCCAGAGGGGAGTTTGGGTGTGGGGGAGGCTGGCAAGGGGCCCCTTCCCTGTGACCACAGAGGTGAACCCCGCCCTCTGGTATGTGTATTTTCCAAGTGCCTTTCTCCGCTGCCACTCCATCGGATCACTCAGGAAGATCTCCAGCAAGTGCGCGGCACATGGCCGGAGATTGCATCAGAGCGCCGAGTGAACCCTGCTCTCTGTTCTGGGAACAGCTCACGTTCAGAGGAGGGGAGGCTTGCGCTGAGGATTTCACAATGTCCTCTGAAGCGGTATCAGCTGCTCATAGAGTCTACCCCCTTCCTCCCCTTTAGGAAAATACCTGTACCCAAGCTCCCCACCCTCCAACACCATGATTTAAGACTTCCTTCCACTCCAGAGCTTCAGTCCTTATGTAGAATGGGCTGCAATTCTTAATTGCATTACTGCAGGAAGGAAGTTCTAGCATGTTCTCTGTGTCTTAGGAAAAATTTACTCAAAACCAAAGGCAGGGTTTGAAATAAGTGAGACAGGGCTTCCTCCTTGTACACTGACAGCATTCTGTGTCTGCTTGTGAATCTTCACTCCCTTAGAGGCAGCCTGAGGGCTAACAGAGATTGCCCCTATTTTAGCAATGTGTGCTTTGGGACAAGAACTTGGTGCAGGCACCGGGTTTTTTTGCCCACCTCTTTGCATCTTCCCCCTGCTCCCCTTCCGGGAGCTCTCTGGAGTCTGTGACTTTGGAGTCCTCTTGCTAAGGCAAGTCTCAGGATCTTCTGTGGGGACATCTTGTGTGCCTGTTCTAGCTTACTTTAATGGGCTTTGGGGAAGTCCTGCCTACATGCTGAGAGCTAGCCCCTTGTAAATGAGGAGAGTTTGTGTGTGTGAGAGAGATCTCTAAGCCAGCTTGGGAGGGAGTACCTCAGGGTAAGTTATTATACTCATGTCACAGGTTTCTCTCTTGCCCAATTCTTGGCACAAGCATTATGTTTGAAGAGACCGATACAAGGTACACAGCTTTTATCTGTTTTTTTCTTTTTGAAAAAAATTGTTTCCCTCCACTTTCAGTCTTCCACACACAAAAAATACCTCACAGACAAGAGCTTCATCAAATCACAGATTCAGGAGGAATTTGGCTATCACACTGGACTCAGATACCTTCTTGGTGTTTTAGGAATCTCTGGCTTTACACAGGCCAGACTCCAGCAGTTCAGGGCACTGTAATCTCTTACTAAAGGTCAGTGGGGAATAGATCCATTTGAAATTGGGTGCCATTGCCTTATGCATTTCATCAGCTTCTCCCCAGGTGGCCTGGGCTGAGGGAGGGCCACAGAGTGGCGAGGCTGCCTTTGCACTGAGGCAGAATCTACCCTGCATGTCATACTCCTGAGATCAATATCCATTGGTATTTGAATGAGAAGAAGGTGTTAAAAAACAAAAGTTGGCCACCATTTGCCCTTCTCAGCCTGTGGGGAGGGTCCCAGAGCCTTGCTGCAGTGAGTGGGGGGCATTTCACTGCTGCCAGCTAGGCATAAAATGGCACCTGGCATGTTCTCCGTGTCCTCACCTCCTACCCACAGCAAAGGAACTGGCTGCCGGGCACTCCCATGCTTGGTCAGTGGAACCCAAGGCACAGGAGACTCACAAACTTTACACTGGTCCCAGCTCCACTTCTAGGCCACGTTTTGGCTCATTTGGTAGCCATTGCCTGTAGCAGTACAGAATTGGCATTGCTAATTGTCTTTTCCATTTTTATTAAATATATTCTGTTGGAATCCTTTGGCCAGATGATTCTTCAGCTTGGGCTGCAGAGTTTTGTTGGTTCCTTTAAAGGGCTGAAGACCCTAAAATCCGTGAGTGCAGGAGACTAGAGACGTGAGCCCTGGGCTTGCCCCCTCTCTTAGCAAGTCACTAGCCCATTTTTGGCAAGGCTGTCGGGCAAGTGAAGCCAGCCAATATATCTTGACCTGTCTTTGCCATCCTAGGAATGTTTCCATCTTTGCTCACACACCTTTACTCAGGTCAGACAGAGTGAAGAAAATTGCCTTGGAACCATCGTCAGAAGTAGCAGGGATTTGTTTGTAAATTCAGTAACTAATTGGTTTTAAAATCCATGATTCATTTTTTAAATGAAAAACATTTCATTTAAAGTTTTGAAAATGCATTTTTTAATTTAAAATGATTCAGCTGTCTCTGCAAATCTGGCTTTTTATATTATTGAAGATCATTATTAATTTTCCAGACACCCAAGAAACCCAAGCAGCAGCTTCTCTTGTTATCAGCATAACAGGAGGGGACACCAGGTAGGAATCATGCAGTTTTTATCTCCTCCTCAGGCGTTTGCACAAAAGCCATGAAAAACTCTCCACTACCTGGTATTTTAAACTTTCTATAAGTTATTAGTCAAATAGAACTGTTATGGGATTGTATTTATAGGTACCTAGAAAGAAAATACAAGCACCTGGCAGACCAGGGTGAGTCAGTTTGTTTTAAAATTTAGAGCAAATAGCCTTTCCCTAGTTCTTTTAGACAACTCTTGGACTCTATAGAACATGAAGAGAATTAGGAATAGCCTGATTCCAGACCCAGCCTCTTCCCTGGCCTCATTTGCCCTTTAGTTTTTTCTTGTGTCTCCTTCCCTTCCTCACCCTCCCCAGTTAGAAACATTAAAAAGCTGCCTAGGTGGTCTGAGAAAAGCCAAAAACCCTGTTTGGCTTGCTACCTCAGGACTCTCTCTACCCCAACTCCTCCCTCTCACCCTCCCTCCCTCTATCTCTCTCTCCTTTTTATTCCCCATCTGTTAGAGAGTGATGCATTCCTCCATGGTTAATGCTAGAGTGAAAGCCTTCAGTGGAGTCAGTGAGGTTCTGCCATCTTGTCCTGGTGGCCGATGGGATAATTGAGAGTTCTCGTCATCTGCAGGTGCTGCCTTGTTTCCATGGCCTTGAGTCAACTTAAACAATGAAAAAACAGTGTTGGGATTTGAGACAATAGTACCGTTGACCGTTGAACAACAGGGGTTTGAACTGTGCAGGCCCACTCACGTGTGGATTCGCTCTGTCCCAGGTTCTGCATCCTCAGATTCAGCTGACCAACATCATTGTTGATGACCCCAAGGATGCAGAGTCATGGAGAGGGAGGTCCCACTCTTAGGGACTCGAACATTCTCCGGGAGGGGGTGTGTATCGTGAAGCCAACCTCCCGCAGATACCAAGGGGCAACTCTAGTTAAGTTTGGGTGAGTCAAGATTATATATGAAGTTTTGACTTTGAGGGTTCAGTTGACCCCAGTTGTTCAAAGGTCAGCTGTATTTGGAACTCAAAGTCCTTTGCAGCTGTGTTTGTATGCCATTTTCCACGCTTGGGAACACGATCGCCACGATGGCTGCTGGTACCCCTATGAAGAATGTGCAGATTGGACCCCAAGCCGCTCTTGCTTGATGCACTTGTTAGCCAAATTCTTTGTAGTCTCTCTTGTGACAGGAATAAGTCCTAATTTCTCAGTTACTATTGAAAGTAACCCTTTAAAAACATAGGAACAAGGGAGTAAATATCTATTGTTCTGAGCCAGAACTGGACAGGAGTGGGAAATTTCCATATAGTGTGTGAAAATTTCACTGTTCAGAGAAATTATTTTCCCCATCTCTTCTTTTACTATAAAATCATTCAAAATTTTATCATCAACTTTTTCAAACTATGTGATTATCAATTCAAAATTTTAACTTCCTATAAAAGTATTCAGAATATTATGACAATAAAACTGCTTCAATCTGTAGCTGATTAAAGTGTCCAACATAATGATGTTTCCTGCGTCTTTTGTGTGTGAGTAAGCAGGTGGTCCCTTTGCTAACTGGATTTGGTCTTTTAGAGAGATGGATTCCTAAAGGAACACATAGGTATCAGAACTGAAGGGGCTGGGATTTTACCCTACTTGCAGACTAATACGCGAGCATGACATGGTTTCATGGATTCTGGCAGATGAAAATGACAATTGCAAAGAAATAGTGTCATGCAAGGAAACATGCTGTTGATGGATGTGTATATTGGCTTAAGGTTTTTGGAGGGCAATTTGAAAATATGTACCAAGTCTTTAGAAAATGTCCATGAAATGGGTCTTTTTTTTTTATTTATTTGTTTGTTTGTTTTGTTTATACATGCACTGGGTACAGTCAGAAGCGCGGGAGGGTGAGAGAATTCACCAGAGCCAGAGCGGGGAGCAGAGCAGGCAGAAGGACCAAAGTACACTGCTGAGGGGAGCAGCGGGTGGCAGGAGAGGTCTGGGAGCAGCCGGGGATCGAACCGGCACCACAGAGGCCGCAGGCAGCTTCGCAACCCAGCGCTCAACCGCTGCGCCACCGGGGAGGCCCTGAAATGGGTCTTTAAAAGCCCCCCTGATAACATCAGAAACAATTCAACACGGTTTTATTTTTTTTTAAGTTAAAGTGACAACCCAAGTTTATTTATTTATTTAAGTTGAAGTGACAACCCAACCAAGGGACAATACTTAAAACATCTAGTTCTCTACTGGGTTATCCTCACATAATACGGAATGACCTTAAATCGCAGACAAAAACGAAGGGGACAAATGAAAACATGAGTTCTGATACCCAAATTTGGGAAAGCGCTTGTTAAGTATATCCACAGTTAAAAGTGTGGAAGGAAAGGCATAAGGGGAAAAAAATGTTAAAGATTTCGGAACGGTAATTCGCATTACTTTTATCCTAGAAATTTCCTGTACTTTATAGAGTTTCCATAATTTCCTCGGATGAACAGCTTATAGTGGCGAGACGAACGATCAGAAGGACTGGTTGACACCGCGCGGGTGTCCCGGGTTCTAGTCCCGGTTCCGCCGCAGACGTGTCCGGCCTCCTCAGGCGCCTCTACAACGCGGCGCAGTAGACTAGACTTCCTGGGGTCGTCTTGACTGTGAAAACGCCCTGTTTTAAGGTTTCCTGTTGGGATCTGGGGCCCGAGTTCCTCTGGCGCCCGGACCTCCGAGTTAGGGCTGTGGGCCCCGGCCAGGCGCGCAGCCGCACTGCAGCGCGCCCTTGGCCGGGGTCAGCGCTGCGCCCACCGCGGGCTGGACCGGGGTCGCGGCTCCAGAGGCCGCGACTCTTGGCCCTAAACGCGCTTTCCTGTCACGCGGTAGGTCACCTCCGACACGGGCACTCTGAAGCGGACACAACCCCCACGTCACACTGCCACCTTTCCAGGGGTTTTCCTACATGAACTCCATTTCTATAGACTCCTCATGTGCCGCCTCCGTGGGACGCTTTGCTCTTGACAACCACCTCACCAAATGTCAGGATCCAAGTACAACTTAAAAGATGACATTTTGGGCAAAGTAGCGTTAAAACTCTAGGAGTTTAACCGTCACGCCCTAGCCATAGTGCTTTCCAACACACTAACGCCAAGCCCGAACGTGGCAAAAAAAGGGGGGGGGGAAAAAAAGTACGCCTCGAGCCAGCCAGGAGTCGAACCTAGAATCTTCTGATCCGTAGTCAGACGCGTTATCCATTGCGCCACTGGCCCCGTACTGCTCGGGATGGCGCTGCCACACAGGTCATGTCTTACGCAACTTCACAGTCGCGCACAGAAGCCTTGCATTTCCGCCCCGGCGGCGTCGGCCTACAGGTCCCCGCGCTCGGTCTCTTCCCCAGCCAACGCGCTCCGCCAATCCTCAGCGGCCACGTCACGGCGCTCCGCGGCGCCCTCCAATCCATCGCCTCAGGCCCCTCCCATCGCGTGCTCCAGCGCGCGCACTAAGTTTGTCCACGGCCGCCTCCCGTTCGCCATCGAACAGGGCGGGGCGGGGAAAGAGGCGGGGCAGGGCCCGGCTCTGCGGCCGCCGAGCCTGGGTGACCGGTAGCGCCGTAGCGGAGGTGGCGGCGCGGGGCGGGGCGGGGAGTGAGGAGGCCCGAGGAGGTGGTGCACGATGGCGGCGACGACCTACGGGCAGCTGAAGCTGTGAGTCCCCCGGGCTGGAGGTCGTTGGCCGAAAGGGCGTGAGGGCGGCAGGTGCGGCCGCCGGCCTGGGGAGGGCTCCGGAGCCCGCGGCGCCGGGCGGGTGCGGGAGCCTCGCGCGTGGCCCGTCCGGGTTCTTGTGGGTCGCGGCCGCCCCAAGGCCACGCCCGGATCGCCACAGGCCCGGGAGCGACGGCCTCCCGGTGTGTCTCCGCGCCCGGGCGGGACAGCGACGCTGCGGCCGGCTCCGCGAGCAGGGTGGGCATTTGGTTGCAGCCCCCAGGACACGCGTTCCCCACTTTTCTTTCTTTCTTTTTTTTTTGGAGAGATGACAGCTCAGTGTATCCTTATAGCTTATTAGGGGAAGATGGAAATGTCTTCCCCCTCCCACTTCCCTTATTTAATGAGCCTATCTAGCACCACTTTAGACTGCAAACCCAAATTGACAGAGCTCGCTCTCTCTCTAGGCATCGAAGTCTTTAAGATGCAGGCAAAAAATGTAAGAAACAGGCATTCAATACTGTTAAAATCTTGAAAGACTTACTTGCCTTTAACTTTTATACAGCTGCAGTATAAAGCTGGAGAGATTTGGCTTTGCAGCTTGACTTTTAGAGAAAGCCAAGTTTTTGAGGCTTTGAGAAATAGACTCTGGTTGTTAGAATTGTAAATTAGTTATTTGTAGAGTTTTTGGCTTGTTCTGGGTAAATAAAAGCATGCATTTCCTTAGCATTACCGACGTGCCCTACACTTTTCTCGGCTCTGAGTAACTCGGTTCTACTCAATTTGTTGGACACTTTCTCTCTAGACTGAAAGGCCAGTGGCTGTAGTCTGACTGTGTCTTTGACAGCAGAAGCAGTTGTGTGATTTTTTGAGGAGCTTACCCATTCCTAAATAAGTTCATTTTAGTCTGTGTGCTGCAGAAGCTAGCACCGTAAATAAGTTAAAATATCTTGGTCTTTAGTCCTAGCTATCACATTTCCTTTTGCAGGCATCGAAGGACAGCAGAATGTGGCCTTGTGCACTTTCTGTGTTCCCCAGAATGTCAAGCCCACTTAACTTTCTGGAAGGTTCAGTTTAAATTTGGGTTGCAAGATTGGGAATGAAGTCATCTACATCAAATACTTTGGGGAAAAACTGATAATGTTTTCTTAGCTCACTCCCTTTGCAACTTCTGTTCACTGTAATTTTCTTTGAAAACTCAACTATTCATTTCCCTCCACATTTTCCTTGCCAAGTTTCCTTATTCTCTCACAGTTCCCCTTTGCAAGGTGATCACCTTGTTGGTGAATGAGTTCACGAAAGTGTCTTTGACTAGAGTACTGGCCAGGCCAGTGTCACGTGTGCTTTGCTGGCTCTTTAGGCTATTGCTGTCTATCTGATAGCCACTAAAGGGTTTAATACGATCCGACACCAGGTCTCAAATGTGTTTAAACAATATGGAACCTTGGCTTAATGCAGCTTAGCGTTAGGTTACAAAACGCAATTGAATTTTCCTGTGGCAAAGATTGAATGGGATGGAGAACTTGAGAGTTATGATTGTTTATGAGCTGCCAAAGAAGCCCTAAATTTACCATTGGGGGAGGGGGTTGGGCTCTCAATCCCTAAAAGAGAAGAAAAGTTGCCCTTAAGTGATGAGGCTGATACTTTTGTATTGATTTTTGTGAGTTGTGGAAACTGTTTGGATGAGAGAGTAAATCAGGGGTTGTGTAAAACTCATTGTCTAATTTTTGAGTCCTTAATTTTTTCTCTGGAAAAGTTTTTGAGTGCCTCTGTAAATGTGAAGATACAACTTTTCTTGCAGCTTTTTCTGTACTAAGGAGTTTGTGAGTTATAGGCTTTGCTCCTTTTGCTTCTTTTTGGTCCTTCCTGCTCTTTGGCTCAAGGTTTTTAAATGCTGTTCAAAGTTTTTAAATATGGCCTCCCACCTAATGAGTATTCTTTTTTTACCTGCATTTGCATGTGGAAGAGTTTCTGACCTATATCAGAATTAGTAGGATATAAGAGATGTCCTACACATAAAGATGTGCTTTTAAAAATATCCATAAGAGGGCCTCCCCGGTGGCGCAGTGGTTGAGCGCTGGGTTGCGAAGCTGCCCGCAGCCCCTTCAGCACCGGTTCGATCCCCGGCCACCGGGCGAGGGTCCCACATGGTGCACAGACCTCTCCTGCCACCCGCTGCTCCCCCCAGCAGTGTACTTCCTTGTTCTGTTCCCCGCTCTGGCTCTGGTGAAATCTCTCACCCTCCCACACTTCTGACTGTACCCAGTGCTTGTATAAATAAATAAATAAATAAATCTTAAAAAAAATATATCCATAAGAGATAGCTTATTGCAAAAGTATGACTGCTGGGTATTTAAATATTGAAGTGCTTGGGATTTTAAATAATTTGTTCTATATTATGTCATATATTTTCTCCAGCCCATCTTTGCCCTACTCTGAAGTTCACCTTCCTAATGCCCTGATTTAATTTTCTGCTCCCCTGCACAGTCTCGGTTCCCTCTGATTGACCTAAAGGTTGAAATCCCCACTTCTTACTCATCTGTTTCCTAGCTTCTTCACAATCTGACACCGAACTTTATTTCACATAACTGCCCAAGGATTCCCCTGCCCTGCCTTCTACCAGACTTGGCCACCATCTTCTGGCATCAAAACTTGGGCTTACTTTGATCCTTCCATCCAGAATGCAGTCTTCCTGTTCCCCCTCTTTATATGCTGATCACATCCTCAGTATTTTTTGAGCCACTTACTTTGCCACCTAGAAATGATAAAATCATTGTATGTACTTTGTTTCTCCAACTAGGTTGCAAACATGTGGAATATATTAGAAACATCTTAACATTTATTTCTTCTCCAGTCCTCCTCAGTATCTAGCACAAAGCCTTTTCAGAGCAGATTCCAGCGAATCACCTGCATAAAGAAAAAGAAGTGCAGGGGCCTCCCTGGTGGCAGAGGTGGTTGAGTGCCGCACTGTGAAACTGTCCACAGCCTCTGCAGAGTGGGTTTGATCCCAGCTGGCCGGCTGGCCTGTGAGAATCTCACATGGTGCAGCAGACCTCTCCTGTCTCGCTCCGCTGCTCCCCTCAGCAGTGTATTTCGTCAGTCTGTCTGTTCCCCGCTCTGTCTCTG